TATGATTAAAAAAAAAAAGGGGTAAATAAGATATGCTTACTTTGTTTTCATTGTTATACACTCATAACCATACACATATCACTCAAATTCATCATTAGTCCATGATGTTTGGACAACTACATTTATACCACACTCACAAGTCATACTCATATCCTTTGCAATTTCAACATTTTGGTTATAACACTTCATAGGATTTCAAATTGTGTATCAAAGATATTTTAGGATAAATAGATATTAAAGACTTGATTTTACTCTTTTATCATATAATTTTATATATTTTAGTATACTATTTCATACTTGATTTTATTGATATTGAATAAATTAAATACTTAAATGTGATTTATTGAAAATTACCTAATTTTTATTATTTATGAAAACAGAACTAAAATGCATAAAATTAGAAAATTTAAGATTTAAGTGCATCTCTTTCAAAAGCTTGGGAACTAAATTGTAATAAAAAAAGTTTAAATATTAGGGATTAAATTGAATAAATGTAAATTTGAGGATCAAAGTACACAAGAACTGAAGTTAAGGGGCCAACTATATTAGTTTACCATTAAAATTTAAAGGATTTTAACTATAATTTTGACAGAGTTATGACATCTGTCGATGCAAGGATTATTCCTTTCTCTAATGTTCAGGGATTATTATGAGTTGTTTTGAAGTAGAAGAATGATAATGACTCTTTTTATAGAGTTGGAAAATTTTTAGTGGTATTAAGCCTAAAAATCATTGCAAGTAAAATGGATCTAAGATAGGTTTAGTTTGATAATGTTGACTTATAGCTATAGTTATAATTTTTGGTCTTTAAACATTTTAAAAAACATATAAAATATATTTAATATATTTAGTATTTATTTTAAGTAATATTTTATAGACTTTAAGAATAGAAAAAAATTAAAAATTAAAAGATAAAGTACTAAAAGGTGTTGTGAAATGAAGTCAAGATGATAAATCTAAGAATTAATTAAAAATAGAGAGTAATCATTAGCCATGTAGTTTGCTGGTAGACTTATCTGTGTTGTTAACCACAAGGTTAAAATTTAATTCCTAATATTTATGTAAAAGAAACAGAGTAAAAAATTTATAATCCTCTTGCATTCATAAATTTTTACTTCTTTAAGAATCATGAATGTTATCACGTTTATTGCAGTCATACTAAGCGTCATATCACGCAAACTGGATAAGAAACTATCACGCAAACCGGAACTACCCCGCACATTACGCATAGCGGCCGAACTGTTACGCATGCCAATTGGAGTGCCTTTATTGCTACTTGGTAAGCAATAACTTCCACTAATTAGACTTTTTTCTTTTTTCTTCTGCTTTTGCTATGTCTTGGTAATTATTTTTAAATATAGTGCTTTCTTATCATCGAAGCAAATATGTAATTTATGCGAGTAAGAATTGGTAAAGAAATAGAAGAAAGTTATATTTTATTATGTATTTTAAATTTAAAAATAAAAAGTTATTGTAAAGAAGGATTAAAAATATATTAATATGAATAATATTAATTATGTTAATGTGACATTAACATTAACAAAACACTAAAAAAAACTTTGTTATTAGTAAATAAGCAAGCGTGGGCCTGTCTTGTCTACAGGAAGGGGTAAAATTTAAGTTCTAGTCTGTTTGAAAAAGGCTATTGTTGGATGTACAGTGGGTGGATTTGAGTATAGTTGATACTCTAATTTAAATAAAATATTAATTTTGTTGTTAAAAAAAAAAAACTTTGCTTTTGTACATGCTTTGAGATTATATAAAAATTTATGCACAAATAAAAATTTCTTAATTATTTTTCAAATTATATTCTTCCTAAATTTTTTTTAAAAAAAGATAATAATTGATACATTTTTTAATTTAATATATTTTACTATACACTTATTAAGAAATTCTTATTTTTAAATTTAAATTCAAAGCAAGAAAACTATCAATTATAAATTCTAATAACTAAATCAATAAATATTGATAAGTGTATTGAATTAGAGGATATATTAATTATTTTTCTTTATAAAAATGTATTCTTCCCATAAATCTTTTTCTTGTCAGGGGTACCAATATCGCTATCAGGTGGTGACAAAAGTTTGGTGGCTCTGAGAGGTAAGTAATCAATGTTTTAAAACCGAATTTGCCAGTCGATTTGTTTTTAGTGTTGAGTCTACTTTAATTAGCTAGTCAAATAGGTCAATTGGTTGACATTTTAGTATTTTTTGAATATTTTACTTCTATGTATTGATATTAACTTATTTTACCTTAATTAATTTTATTTTAAAAGAATAATTAGTACACACTTGGTTTAACATATTTTTTGACACTTGTTTTGATCATGAATTCAATTTGCATGATGTGCATGTGAAATGAGTTAAGGAATGAAAGAATGTTGCCTTTGATTGTGTAATCCAAAATAATAGATATATGTATAGAGTTAGAATCCATTTACATATAAGTTTTACAAACCATACGTACATAAAATCTTGAACATCTATCTCTTAATTTTCAATAATTAAGATTTATCTACTTTTTATCATATTTATTATAATTTTTTAGATGAAAAAAATAATTATTTTTAATAAATATGATAAAAAGTGAATAAATCTCAATAATTGAAAGTGAAATGATGAATAATAAAAAATTTATATAAATATGGTATGTAAGACTTATATGTAAGTGGATTGCTTCTATATATACTAGAAAGGTTTCACTTACACACAAATCTTATATACTACATTTATAAAAAGGAAAATGATGTGTGCACACCCGGATTCAACACTCAGGTGTGCACACATCATATAAAAAAAAAAAAAATGCCCATCACCCAATTTTTTTTTTTATGTGGGGGGTGCATACCCGGGTGTTGGATTCGGGTGTGCACCAATCATTGTCCTTATAAAAAATCTCAATCATTCATCTCTCTACTTTTAATGGTTAAAATTTATTCATATTTATTAAAGATTATTATTTTTTTCATCTTAAAAATCTTGATAAATTTTAATCATTAAAATTGAAAAGATGAATTATCAAGAGAAAATCCCTCCTCTAAATATATAGTTTTAGTTTTTGGTTTTTAGTTTTCATTTTTTTTAATGTTTTGTAAGTACTACTATACTTGCAAACCAAATTTTTTTTTATAAAAATTACAATTTATTTGATTTAATCTAAATGTAGTATTAATTACTAAATATATAAAATCCAAAAGCTAAACTCATATTAAACAGAGCTTAAAGTAAACTCATACTAAACAGAGCTTAAAGTAGTCATTTAATTTCAAAATGAGTTTACACTTAAAGTTGATTACATTCCAAAATAAAGAACTAGAATTAGACTAGTCTTTGCCTTGATGAATCAACGGAAATCTTGACAAACCGAACCAAACCAAAATCTTACTGATAAAAAATATTGCTGAAAGATCCAGCAGTGGATAAAACAAAGAAGAGACAATTGGATCGAATCGCTCACACTCACAAAGTCACAATACTTAAGCAATTCCAAACTGTTAAAAGATAATGAAGAATAGATCCAAAGATGAGGAAATTAATTATATAGTATATAGTAACTAACGATTAATTCCGCATACCAATTGGAGGACCTTTATTGGGACTTGGTAAGCAATAACTTCCACTAATTAGACTTTTTTTTTAATCGTCTGCTTTTCCTATGTCTGGATAAATATGTGATCTATGCGAGTATAGTAAGTCTTTAAATAGAAGAAAGTCAGTACATTCTTTGTGTAATTTAAAATTTAAAAAAATTATTAATTTTAATGAAAGGAAGGATAGAGCAATATTAAAAATCTAATAATATAAATAATATTAATTATAACGTCGTGACATTAACATTAACAAAACAGTAAAGAAAACTTTGTTATTAGTAAATAGGCATGCATGGGCCTGTCATGTCTACGGGGAGGGGCAAAATTTGACTTTTAGTTTGTTTGAAAAAGGTTATAGTTGGATGCATGATAGGTCCTTATTACTCCCTCATTTGAATAAAATATTAACTTGTCTTTTTTCCCAAAAAAAAAAAAAATTGCCATTGTATACACATCGAGGTTAAATAAAAATTTATACACAAATAAATATTTCTTAATCATTTTCCAAATTATATTCTTCCTAAATCCCTTTTTTTTTTGTAGATATATATTCTTCCTGTAAATCTTTTTCCTTTCTTTTCTTTTAACAAATATATCCCTCCTCGATCCTAAATTATAACTGACTTATTGCCGGGGTACCAATATCGCTATCAGTTAGGCAGAGAGATTTGATCCATCTGAGAGGTAAGCATTCAATGTTTTAAAACCCCATTCACCAGTCGATTCGTTTTTAGTATCGTGTCTACTTCAATTAGCTAGTCAACTAAGTCAATTGAAAAGGTTGACTTTTTAGTATTTGTTGAATATTTTATTTTTATTTGTTGATATTAATTTATTTTACCAATTCCAAGGGTTGGATTCATTGAAAAATAAGTGTTATTTTGTTGGTTACGTTCAAAGTTCAAGTTTTGAGGTTAACATTCAAGAACTAACTTGAACCACTCTGATAGTAAATTAATACCAAAGAAAATTATTTTATATTAATTAATTTTA